TTCTTATGTAACATTTAACATGCACTCAGATTTTTCCTTTTTGGAAGTCTTCTAATTTAATTCTGAAATAACTTTTAGTCATTTTATTTCTTTTATAATTTAGCTCCACATAAAATTTTACACAGAAGATATAGTTTATTTTCTGTGTTGTGCTATAGATAGTACTGATTTAGTTTGGACAGTAACAATAAGTCCTCTAGGTCTGTAGGTGTAGCTCTGTCGTAGAGTGTTTGAACAGCATGTGAGAAGTCATGGGCTCTATCTCTAGAAACACACACATACACACACACACACACACACACACACACACACACACAAATCCTCTATATTTTGTCATGAATCTATTATGTCTTTTAAGTAATTTTATATGGGAATCAAAACTTAACTGATATTTGTAGCCTTCTCAGGTATTTTCTACCTTACTTGGATTCATTTTAATTTTGATGACTGTTTACTGATGTCCACTTGTTCCTTTATGCTTCTGTCTTTTCTGTACTGAAACCATTTGCTTTGTAGTTTTACTGACATGAGCACTTTTGAAGGAATCGCTTGTTATTTCCTTGGTATTTTTTATGTTCTCAGAGGGAAGGTCTGTGTCTGTTCTCTCACTTCTGTATCCTTAGGGTATCACACAGTGCCTGGTGGGTAACAGACAGTATCTGCTGAATGACTGAATGCACAAATGAAGCGATTCTGCTCATGGTATATGCTGTATAAATATTTGTCAGCTAACAAAGCTCCTTCATATATTGGTTTTAGTTACTTGACAGTGTTTTATATACATGTATATGTGTATGTATAACAGGATTTTTAAGCATTTCATAACTAATAATGCATTTGTCCTCATAAAAGTTCTCTGAGCTAGGTAGTAGTGTTACCAGCATAACATATGAATAAACTGAGGGACAGGAACAAGCCTAGCCTGGGTAATTCAGTGGCTTAGGAGGCCCTGTCCTATCTTAAAACTAAAAAAAATAGGGCTGGGGATACAGCTCAGTGCAAAGGCTTTGGGTTCAATCTCCATTACTGAAAAAAAAAAAGGAAAATGAATATGGGTAGCAGAAATTATATTTGAACAGCTAGGTAGGTATTATTTTCATAGTGATCAAAGATACTTGTCAACAAAATCTCAAACAAGATTTATGTAAGGAAATTGATATGAAGACATAGCACAGAGGAACTAGAACATCACAACAAGGAAATCTCTGAAAAGACCAGTAACATTGTCAAACCTCTAACATTATCCAATCTTCTGGCTTGCATGAGTCACAGAGTGAAGAGGAATTGATTCGGGCCACATATAAAATGTATAATACAGTTAACATGCTGGTAACAAAACATCTTTATTTTTAAATATTTCAAATTACAACTTTAGAAAAGAGTACTGAGCCATAAAGAAGGATGCATTTGAGTTACTTGTAGGAAAATGCATGTACCTTGAGCCATAATGTTATGTGAAATAAATCGCATACACATACACGCTTAAAGATCATAGTTTCTCTTCTGTGAGAAACCCAAATTATAAATAAAGAGCAAAACAAAAGATAGATAATAGGAAATAGGGAGATAGAGCTTTTGCAAAAAGGAAGGGAATCAAAAGATGGAGAGAAAGGGAGAGGGCTTAGAGGAGAGAGATGAATGAGAAAATTAAGATGTATTATATACATCTACTAGCTCCACGTGAGGGAGGTAATAATTACGTACTGCAAACATGTGCCAGTAAAAAACTGTAAAACTTCCAAGAAAAAAAAATAACAACAAAAAAAGGACGAGCATCCTGCAGGCCACAGCTTAGACACGCCTACATGAGAGATACAAGAAAATAGGGAGAATATTCCGATTAACCAGTGTTACGACTGGAGAGGATAACATCTTTGTGGATTCTGCAGATGTTAGAGACAATATCAAGATATTATACACAGCTTTGTCGTTAAATTACATTTCTTGTGAAGTGAATTGCCTTAAAAAACTTTACTTGGAAAATTGCTTTAATAGAAAGCTTATGAAATTTTTATCCATTACATAAATACCTGATCAAAAATCTTACCTTAGATTTTTTTAGATGAGTCTCGGAGTGTAAGGGGCTTGCTTGACCTACCTGCGGTCCTAGCTTCAGTTCCCAGCTCTACACAAAAACACCCCCCAAAACAGAAAAAGTACACCGCACCATTCCCACTTCTGATGGTGCAGAGAAGAGTGCCACAGGGAACCCAGCAAGTTCCAGACTGTGCCAAAGAGATTCTGAAGAGTCACACACTGGCAGTGGCAAAAACTGTCAGGAACTCTTCAGCCTGTGTTACTTAGAAGTGCCTTTCCATGTGTGCACAAGAGCGATACAATAAAAAATGTTTGAATAAATCTCTTGAGTTCTTAAAGTAACTGCGTAATGAAAGTTCTAAGGGAGAAAAAATAAATCTTACCCCTCAAAAACCCTGTGCCAAAGTTTCAAGAGCAAGTTGTACTAAGCATTTAAGGAAGAAGTAAATCATACATTTTTTAGAAAACAATAAGAGAAGATTGCCTTTCTCAGAACATGAGTTTAGCGTATGTTGAATCATGTAAGGGCAATGAGAAAAAACTGTAGGCTATTGCCACTTATAAACATGCTGAACTTCTGTATAAAATGTTAATTAAAAAATCAGTAATATACGTAAGGGATAATATGATCAAGGTGAGTTGGTCTGATATTAGAAAATGTATTAATGTGATTCTCAGCATTAAAATTTTAGAGCAGAGTTTAGTCTCAAAATGTTTTAGCGTATCATTCCTCCTATTCTCTTTCATAATGTATATAGTGTTTATGTACTGTATATGTTATATATATTTTATATACTTCAACTCTTCCTAGAGTAGTAGTTTCTGTTTCTGAATTTTCTCATGCCCACAGTGCTTTCTAAAGAATTTATGTGGAGGGGCTGAGGGTATGACTCAGTGCGCAGCACCGGCCTGGCAAGCGCGAGGTCCTGAGTTCACTTCCTAGCACCAGGGAGGAGGGAGGGAAGAGAGAGAGGAGAACAGAGAGAGGGCGGGAGGGAGGGACGGGGCATGTGTCTCAGTGGGAGAGTGCTTGCCCGCCACGCCGAGGTTTGGGTTCTGTACCCAGTGCTGTGCGGTGGGGAGAAGACAAGGACAAAGGAAGGCTGGGATTGAAATTGAAGCATATTTTTCCGCGGTGCTCATTAGATTGGCTCTCCAAATTATTTTGTAATTCAAAGGAAATCCGTACGAATTGTATTTGGATTTCAGACACTACATTTTAATTACAAAGACTGTAATTTATTCAGCTTTATTTCCCAAAGCCAGGAAGAGTGAAAAACTACCACTGGACAGGTAAATATAATTGTTTTGAAGTTGAATTTGTGATCATGATCTCATGTGGCAAGTGAAATTTAAAATTCCTCATTCACTTATACTATTAATTGGCAAAATCTGAAACAGAATACAAAATAAATGGGATTCTAATTAAAATCAAGAGGTGGCAATAGAACATTTATGTTAATCCAGAAATACAGTGGTAGGATAGAAGATAGTTAAAACTACCAGAAAATTTAAATGTCTCTAATATTGTGAAAATGAGGAAGGTAGGCAGAAATTGCTGTCGGTTCCAGCAGCATTCAGCATAGAACTTTGGAAAGCATCCGCGGTAGCTGTGTCCAGAGAAGAGGCGCTATTTTTGACGAGAAGGTAGCGGGTGGATGAGCAGCTGTACCCATGGGAAAGAGAGCTAGGAGGTTCGAAAGCATGGCAGTGAGGCGCGAGCATTGAACTCTGGTCTTTGATTTAGGGAATCTGTTGGATTTTGTTATTGTTTTTCTCCTCTAGAGTGAGAAACTTTGCCTCCGAGTCAGTTAAGCTGAGGACACTGTGTAGTTAGAAGATTTAGTTTCTTTTTTGTTGATTATCTTTTATATTTATTGAGAAAATGAAGATGACATCTTAAACTAAAATTTAAAGGTAACACATCAGAGCATCCCCCTACTGTAAATTCTTTTAAAAAATGTTAATACTTAGATTCTGCAAAATTCAAAAAGTCCAAAAGAGTATATTAAAAAGCAGGTTTAGTTTCTAGGACAGTCCTGTTCGCTGCCCATCCCAGTCCTCCTCCGTGTAGGAAATAATGTTATTGGTTGCTTACATACCCTTCTCAGGGATTTCACACTTACAGAGCTTGTGTACCTGTGTTTCTGCATTATTTTTTTCAGTGTATCGTAGTGTACAATTCACATGTGCTGTGCTCTTTTTTATTATTTAATTGCTTTGGAGATTGTACCATCTCAGAACAAACATAGCCTTTATATTTTTAAAAATTAAAATGCAACTCAAATATCATAAAATGTTTAAAGTATGTAGTCCACTGGGTTTTGGTATATAAATAGTGTTATACAATTTTCACACTCTAATCCTTAGAACATGTACAAGAAATCATTTGGAATTTTGACTCTAGCTCTGTCACTTACGTGTGCTTTTGAGTGAGTCATTCATGTCACAGTGACTTTATTTTTAGTTAGTAATAGGTACTGCTTTATGGATTAGTGAAGGATTGATAACACACAAGAAGGCATTTCTTAACTATAAAAATACCCAAGTAATTATTACATTTATTACACTGTAAAGCTCTGAAAACAGAAATCACATGGAGTGGGGACCAAATCCTCTAATGTTTTATCCTTGATCTTAAATTTTAGTTTAAGCACACATTATATCACAATGAATGTGATTTCTCTTTTCAGAAGTTTATTGTGTGCTGCCACTAAAAACAAAAACCACATTAATTCTATAGATACATGCATAATAATATTAAAAGAAAAATAGACTTATCTTTTTGATGCAGGAATTTTTTTTTTTTTTTTTTTTTGTCTCTTTGAGACAGGGTCTCACTATGCAGTTCAGGTTGGCCTGGAGCTCACTTTGTAACCCAGGCTGGTCTTGACCTGCAACGATCCTCCTGCCTCAGCCTCCCAAGTGCTGGAATTACATATAGGCGTGCGCCACCATGCCTGGCTGTTTTTTTTGAGACATGGTTTAACCATGTTTTTTAGGCTGCCTTGAACTCATAGCAGTCCTCCTGCCTCAGCCTCCCAGATGCTAGATTATAGGCTGTGCCACCATGCCCAGGTTAACTTATGTCATTAAAGAAAAAAAAAGCAGACAAAATAATCAATAGTCATTTAGATTTGTTATGTAGGAGAGTGTTTAATTTATTGTTGAATCATGTATTGATTATATGAAGAACCCTGGAATTTTTGGAGAAGGTTAAGAAAAAAATCATGTAATCAGTAAAAATCTATGAAGATAATGAGCATGCTCTTCTCCAGAAATACTTCTTATGAGGTGGATGTCATGTTCATCAAACTTGGAAAACACTCCACTCAGTCAAGGAAAACAGAACTTACGCTGAGAACTGGAATATAATTAAGGAAAGGTATAACCCCATTAATTGGATTGTGATTTGACTCTGACAGATAGATACAGTAACTGGAGGTCAGCAAATTGCATGGAGAGTAGGAAAACATGCCAGACATCAACAGTTGTTAATACGTCTTTAGCCCTGTCTTCAAAACAGGGTACTGTATATGCTGATTAGGCAACACTTAGTTTTCTGCTGAAAAGCAATTCCTTTAGTGGAGATAGAGCTGTCCTCTAAGAATGAGGACAGTAACTGTTAGGTTAGTGGTTCTTACTAGTATTAACCCCTGTCTCGATGATACTCGCAGTGGTAACAGTGGTTCTCCTGGTCATGATCCTCCAAGAGTGTGGAAGAGCAATGGAAATCTCTCTTTGAGTTGGAGAGTGATACCATAGGGTCTCAGATACCTGCCTGTTGTGTAATTCAACCCTCTTACCTCTGTCTCTGTGTGTTCTAAGAAAACTCTGAAACTGACTTTCTTAAGGAAGCTTACTAGGATTCTTTGATTCATTCATTCATATACTCATTCATGTATTCATCAATTTATATAGGATCTACTAGATACTAGCAGCTGAAATACAAAAACAGAAAGATACACGCTTGCCTTTGTAGAGTTTACATTTGTCAGTCTAAAACAAAAACAGATTCTCCAAAGAATAATATTTGAGCATAGCAGAACATTACAATGGGGTTGCTTATACCGTAATAAACTGTGGGCACGCTCAAGGAGACTGAAGCAAGAGGAAGTTTCTAGAAGCAAAAATGATGATTTCATCAGATATTTTGAATCAGGTCTCCCTAGCCACAATGATGAATGACAAGATTGGTGCCAGTGGAAGGTTAAGCAGTTCCTGGGCTTGTGTGCTTGTAGGAGTACTTCTCCGGAAGGTTGGCTTTGTGCAAGCTTGTGAAGCTGCTGGGCAGTTACGTAGAAGAACTCTTCTTTATAACCTTACAGCTTTATTTCCTTCTTCTGGCACGGTTGACACAAATGACTCCATTTCGGTTTTGGCAACTTGCGTATTTCACATGTTTAACGAGGGCTTCATAATTACACTAGCGTTATAGTACCTCATAAAAAATACTTGGATAGAACATGTATTTTAGTGAGAGATCATAAAGCTGGAAACGGGGAGTAGTTTTCTATGGGCTACAGTGTATGGTGGCAAGAAATACATCTGGAGAAATCGAGGTTTCCAAAGGCTTTGCCAGGTCTTGTGAAGGATTTTATACTCTATGCAAAGCAGGATAGCCATTAATAGATGTTAAGCAAAGGACTGACGGTCATCTTTACATTGTAAAATATTTTAAGGAGACCAAATTACGGAGGGACAAGAGGAAAATAAAAATGGCTTAAATTAGAACTGATGAGATTGGAGGTAAGTTAGCTCACTTTTGAAACTTTTGGAAGAAAAACGGTAAAATTCGGCTGTTGATTGGAGGTAGGGGATAAAGGCGGGAAGGAGTTAGAGGCAGCATCCAGATTCTTGCTTGAATCCCACCTTAAATTTGTCAATTCACTTGCTTTTTCTTTTTAATAGCTATAAATACTTGAACCTCTAATTAAGGAAAATTTTACTTTTACTTTTAGAAATAAATAAGGCTGTTATAGTAGCCTAAATATATAAAGTTGAGGAAAGATAGAGGGAAGGAGAGTTGTACATTAAAAGAGCAAGCTGAGAGTAAGCTTAATTAAATGGAATAAATAGGATTTTTTGCGGGGGGAGGTCTTTTTTGAAACTGGGTCTTGCTGTGCAGTTCAGGCTATCCTTGAGCTCACTTTGTAGTTCTGCCTCAGCTTCCTGAGTCCCCCTGAACTGGGACCATAGGCATGCAGTACCACGTCTGGCTTCGTTCATAGGTAGGAGTTAGCACAGTATTCGTGAAGAAGCTGGCTGTGGCTAGTAAAAGACACAGATTCTGTGGAGAGCATTTGCCTCTTAATTACTGGAAGGAAATTTATTCTACTTTTTTTTTTTTTTTTTTTTTTTGTTTTTTGGTTTTTCTCCAGTACCGGGAACCGAACTAACGACCTTGCACTTGCCAGGCAGGCGCTTTGCCGCTGAGCTAAATCCCCAGCCCCCTATTCTACTTTTTAAATTTAATATTCAGTGGCAACAGTTTGAGAAATAGCACTTTTAAAGAAGAGCACATTCGGCTTACCTTCGATTTTATAACAATTCAATAAGGCAAGTGAGAATAAACTCTTCTTGAGGGATATAATGTACTTTTATGTTAGGATAAACTAGGAATGTGTGTGGATTTCTCTACCACTTCCTAATACTTAGCTTTCACCAAATTACAAACCGTAATACAGTTTCTTCATCTATAGAATGATACTGAGAAAATCTGATTTCAATATGTGTATTTGTAAAAGAACTGTGCAGAGTCGACATATAATAGATGCTCAGTAAATGTGTTTTGCACCATAATTTGTTTTCTTTAATTCTTTTCTTTTTGGTTGATCCAAGTTTTTAAGGATCGTATAATTTTAAATATTTAACTTCTTAATTTAAACTATTTAGTTAAGGTAATGCTTTATTTTCTATACAAAGAAGGATGGAAAATTTTTAAATTAATCCTACATTAGATTAGTTCACTATAAAGTAGCAGATATTGGGGGACCCCAGAGAATTTAATAAGTGGTGTTTTAAAGAACTTTTAAGTATTTCTCATCTGCTCTCTTGTCTTCACTTTGCCTTCCCATTGTTCCTTGGCTTTCCGAGTATGTTTTATATATTTTTTTTCTAGTATGTTTTAGATTAGCAATATTTAGTTAATAGTACAAAGCAAGGATGGAAATTCATTTTAAGTATTTGAGTAATAAGTATGTGTAGAGAACTCTAGTGATGCTTGGTCCCTGCCCTCTGAAATTTCTTCGTATAGATGAGTAGCAGCAGAGTCAGTCATCTGATCAAACTGAGACTGTGTTCTAAGACACACAACATTTGCAGTCTGTTTCCTTCCATTCTCCTCTCCCCAGTCTGTTCGGCATAGACTCACATTCTATTAATAGGTAACAAATTAATCTCAGTGTAAAATTTGGTGCAAAAATGAACAGAGATCCCTATATTACAGTGTTTCATCTTAAAAGCCTGCCCATCACAGGCCGTCACTGTTCCAGCAGTGTAAGAGATGTGGAATGGGGGTGTGAGAGTTGACTGGAGTGCGTGCTGTATTGTTGTCTCTCAGTGTTTCGGTTAATAATTTTCGTATGTTTTATTTCATGTGTAGGGAATTCCAAATGAGAGCTGGCGAATAACGAAGATAAATGAGCGATACGAGCTTTGTGATACCTACCCTGCGCTCTTGGTTGTGCCGGCGAATATTCCTGATGAAGAATTAAAGAGAGTGGCGTCCTTTAGGTCAAGAGGCCGTGTCCCAGTAAGTGTGATGCTTTAAGGAAACTTCGCCAGTGCTTTTGTGTTCTACTTAATGCAGAGCTTAATGAATTGGAGAACACGTGCAGGTAAAAATACCTGTGACAGCAGATCGTTTGTGGCGGTATTAGAGACTGAGTTACTTGGTATAATTAAAAGTATAAAACTTTAGAACTGGGAAATTTAAACAGTAAGATAGTTGCCTAGTTTTTAACATGAAAACAACTGTCCTATGTGTAACATTTGGTATTTGTCTGAAATATTCTTTAGTAATGGTCATAAATGTTCTTTTCCATTAAGTCAAGAAAGAAGAACAGTTTACAAATTAATGATGAATAACTAGATCTTGAGAGATCATTTTAAATAGTTTTAAGTACAAAATTCGTGCATTCTGAAGATTTTGGAGTTGAGCAGTTCTGCTGATACAGGAATAAACCTTGAAAGTGGGGTTTACATAGCACTGTTTTAGTTTATTATTTTTTTCTAGAGATGCCTCTTCTGAAATCTGTGACTTTCATAAATGACTGGTTAAAAATTAGACCAGGTTTTCACATACCAGAATTGGTTTAAAAAAATGATTTTTTTTGGAGCTTGGGAAAAATTTTTTTTCTCACATTTCGTGACCAGGATAGGATCCAGTTAGAAACCAGAGCTTTATAGAGGACTGTTTTAAAGAATTAAAAACAGAGAAAATAAAAAGTGTTGTTACCATTTTCCCCTGCATGAAAGGTCCTATCGTGGATCCATCCCGAGAGCCAAGCCACGATCACGCGGTGCAGCCAGCCCATGGTGGGCGTGAGCGGGAAGCGCAGTAAGGAAGATGAGAAGTACCTGCAGGCTGTCATGGACTCCAACGCCCAGTCTCACAAGATCTTTATATTTGATGCCCGGCCGAGCGTTAATGCTGTTGCCAATAAGGTGAGATTGTCTTTTCAGAATTAAGATTCTAATTACAGTTTCACAAATGAGCTGAACTCGGCAGGAGCCACAGGGCTGTAAAAACAGTTTCTGCAGAGGTAAAGAGGATTCTAATCACGACTTTTGCCTCCTCATCCATGTGAGTGTGAGTTAGTCTTTTCAAGACTGAAGTTTATATGTACTGTAAAAGTATCAGTTAATGCAGATAAGCAAGCAGAAGTATTTTAAAACACTTCAGCATCTATACGAAACACCATTAAATCTTAGTGGTTATGCTCGCATTTCTGTGCATACAGACTTGAAACACACTGGCTTACTTTTAATTTCCTTTTTCAAAAAAATTAACCTTATATATTGCTAAGCCAAGAAAAATTGATCTATAATGTCATTTTAAGGTATAAGTGTAACTGTCTACACGCAGCTATTGTTGGGTGGATTTGGGGTTTTTTTGTTTTGTGTTTTGTTGTTATGAAAAGTATGTGGATGATCGTGCTTAGCTGGTAAGGAATTATGGGTTTCCGGCATTGCTCTCCATGAAAACTGTAAATATTCTCACGTAAAGGGTGTGAGAGAGGAGCGTGACACCCTGACCCTAAGTTAGTACTTTAGTTATAGGGCAGTTTCTTCGGTGTAAACGTTTAAAAAGTCTGATAAGTACAGATACAACTTTTTTAAAAATAGCTTACAGTTTGCATTAGGTTGGTTGAGTTTGGGTGTAGCACCAAGATGCAGAGTGCTGACCTACAGGAGGAAGTCCCTGGCTTACAAACAGTGGAGCTGAGAACCTTCACAGGTGTACTGTCTAAGACTCACTTTGTTGGATACAAATGAATCTGACCTGCAAACACTCTCCCAGAAAGGAACGCAATTGTAATTGGGGACTTACTGTATACAGCTACTTGTAGAAATAACAGATAGAAGAGAATGTATGTAAATGAAAGGGAGAATACGTATGGCTCTAGGCTCTGCCAAGAGATAAAATACAAAGTATCTGTTCAATTAAAAGACCTAGAAATAGAAACAACAGAAAATGAGCATCCTTAGCACCATATATGATTTGAGATACGATTTCCTACTACTAATAGAAGCCAGAATTTCTTGGAAAAATGCCTACTCCATTCTGGAGCAAAACATATAAAGGCTTCCCTCATGAATCTGGGTGTATTCTGTCATATCGGACAGCAGAATCTGTGCTGTTCACCTTTTGTTCCTGTAACAAATACCCAGAGATAACTCACGTAGGGAAGGGTTTCATTTTCGCTCACAGTTCTACAAGTTTCAGTCCGTGATCAGTTAGCTCACTGCTGCTTAGGCCTGCTATGTAGCAGCATGTAGTGGCCGGGCCACATAGGGAAGCAAAACCGTCCAACTCAGGGCCAGAACTAAACCAGAGAAGAAACAGGGGCTGACGTCCCGCCATCTCATTCAAGGGCGCAGCCCCAGTTACCTGAAGACCTCTCACTGAGCCTTTAGGGCCTACCACCTCCCTGCATAGTGCTGTGGGCTGGGGACCAAGCTTTAAACCCGTGGACTTTCCAGAGACAGCTCCGGGTCTTGGCCTGCCAGGCAGGCACTGTGCTGCGGAGCTGTATTCCTAGCCCCTCTTGCTACTTTCTGAAGCAGTTCTGGACTTTCTCTTCCATGTCTTTAGTTGCACTGTCATGGCTGCTTTGATGTCCGGAACTGACTCAGAACATTTCCCTTTCATGATCATTTCGACTTCGCAGAAGAGCTGCGGGTTACCCAGTGCCAGATTGGTGAGCAAGGTGGATGAAACACTGTCAGTTTTACGAGCCTGCCTTCCCTTTGGAGGGCACTCCACAGCAGCATTCATCATACTTTTGACCATATCTTATAAAAGCCACAGAAAAGGACTTCCAGAACTGCTTCAGAAAGTGGGGAGAATGGAGGGATGGACGAGTGTGTTCAAAGCAAGAGGAAGTATTTGGAGAGATTAAAGGCAATGTGTTTCTCTCTGTGATACATTTTCAAAAGCATTCACCATATATTTCAATCACAAGCGTATGACGGTATTTTACAGTGTTAAGGAAATCAGATGGGAGCCCAGGACTTTATACCCAGCAAAACTGAACGGTTAAGCTTAACTGTCACCTGACTGTATTACAGTACCGGAGAGGTGACTGGCTGTGGGGCGTTGTCCTCATCTGCAGACAAATCCATTATGTTCAGAGCTGGCATGTGCCGTTAGAAGGCAGCACCCAGGTGAAGGAGGGTCACTGGGAGTGTGCTTCGGAGGGCACATCTCTTGACGGCTGTCTTCCCTTCTGCTTCGCTTTCTAGCTGCCATGAACTAAGCAGTTCTGCTGCACCCCGCCCCTCTGCCATGAGCATTCTCCTTGAAAGCAAGAGGTACTCTGTATTGCTCAGTCACCACATGTTTTTGCCTGACTGTCCAAAGGATTTATTCCAGTAGGGTTGGTTTTTTTTTTTTCCAGAATATGTCTTTGTGTTAGGTTTTGTGGATCTGCATTCTCAAGTATTGTATGCTATTTCAGTTTGTAATTTTCAATTCACAAACTTTTTAAAAATTAGTTGGCCAGGCACGGTGGCACACACCTGAAATCCCAGCATTCTGAGAGGCATGAAGCAGAGCCCCGCCTGGGCAGCTGAGTGACGCAGCGAGGCCTCACCTCCAAGCTGGGAAATGCCGAAGGGCTGGGGCGGCACTCCGCACACAGGCCCTGCCTCTGGTCCCCGGCCGTGGAGTTTGCGCTCACGCCTCGGTTTGTCTCTCCAGGGTGCTGGCGGTCTCCCTGTCCTCACTTGTCACTTCGTCTGTCCTCCTTTTATGTCTTCCTAATGTCTTTTCACCAGCTGTTTCTTTGAAATGCTCTTGAAACTACTGTTCATATTTGAAGTGATGTTTTTCTTTTATATATAATTTGATGTCAGGTTCTGTCACTTTATTTCTGAGTTTTTCTACTTCTGGGTGTATTCATGTCCGATATTTTAAAAATGTCTCTTGTTTGCCGGAAGGTAGATTTCAGATTTAGGAGGCGTTGTCTGTGGGGTTGTTACGAAAGCTGCTCGTTCGCTCTTATTTTTGAGTAGCGTGTCAGGAGTTTGGCCTCAGCCGTCTTCTGCCACCCATGTCAGGTAAAGTCAGCCTCCCTCGGCTTTGGGAGGTCGCACGGTTTAGTTGGAGGACATGGGACAGGTTAGATGTGCGCAGCACTTACAAGTGCGTACTTCACGGAGCAGGCTGTTCTGGTTTTATGTAGTATTTAAAAATGGGGAAGTTTGCTTCCTGCTACTGCTTGGCTTCTTTTTGTCTCGTTCCCTGCACCCGTGTCTGTCCCTGCCTTAATCCCGGGCGCCCCCACTCCTATGCAGGCAGCTCTTCAGTTGCCCCTCTTGCCCCTGTCCTGCTCCGTTCTCACGTTGCTCGTAGCAGCGGGTCAGACGGGAGACTTTGTGAGGACTAGACTGCCTTGCCCCTTCACAGCGGCGGAGGCCTCATGTACTCAAGCTGTAAGAAAGGACAGGTCCCCTTCCTGGGTTCAGCTGCACTTGGTAAGACTGAGCTGTTCTTTCCTGTGGCTCGGGAAGAAAGCCAGAACCGACAGAATAATAAAAATGGTTAATTTCAGGTCTGTCCTGTGTCCATTGCTTCCTTTGCTCAGTGCCATTCTGGCAACAGCCAGACCTTGTGGCTGTTGGTGGTGGTCTCCGCCTCGCAGTATTTTGGGATTCAGTGGAATAGTCAGCAAGCGCAGCTTCTAATCATGTTTGTGTTTCGGATTTTCCTGCCTCCTTGATTTTTTAAATGAGCTTCATGGAGATAGATTTCACTCATCCTGAAGTGCACTCTTCTAGGGTATATTTAGGGTGTACACTCTTCAAGTAGACTCATGAAGTTGTACAGGCATCACCACCGCCTGGGTCCAGAGCGTGTTCCTTCTGTGTTCGTGACAGGCTCTGTGGAGCATCACTGTCTCTCTTAAAGTCCCAGCCTGTTAGATGTCCACTGTGCTGAGTTCACGTCTCCAGTACCGAGAATGGACTTGAGGACAAAGGAGGTTAAGAGTAGGAAAGAGGCTTCGAGAGAAAGCTCCTGAGAGGCAGAGGCTGTGAAGGGAGCTTGCTGCTGAGGCTCTTTGTCCTGGGATAGTTACACAGCAGAGTCACGGCGTGGGTGGTCTGCCGACAGGGTTACGAGCCTGAGGACGGAGCAAGGTTTGTGGTAGTAGCGTCATTAACATCAGCTTGTCAGTAACTCAGTAACTTCGAATAGAAAGCAAAAGCCTTCCTGGAAAGGAGTGGGGGTGTGGGTCAGAGTGTTCTGGACACCCAGCAGTGCCTCCAGGGGGCTAATTACAGTGTAATCAGATGCTCTGTGTCTCTGAAGGAAGGCTTGTGGGCCTGGCTAGCAAGTCTCCATCTTGCGGCCTGGCTCTTCGAATTCGCCTCCAGCCACAATTTTGATATGTGTCATCTCTTCCACTGACTCGGAGGGCCTGATCCCCCGCTGACTGCGTGTTAATTTCTGTGTGACTTAGCTGTCTACAGTAAGTCTTTCCGCCATAAATCTGTCTTGGTCCTTTCTTTTCAGAAGTAATCAGTGTTACAGAGCGCCCTTGGAAACACTGCTAATTTTATAATTAGGGCAATCCTGAATTCAAACTATTTCCTGGGCTGTTAGTGCCAGAAGCCTCAGTTTCTAGTCTTTTAGTAACCCATTGTTGGTTAGCATTGATAAATTAGTAAATTTTGTTTTTAAAGGTCTGAGTTTTGATCAGTTAATTTTTTGTAAGTACAGTAACTGTTTCAGTATGTTCCTAATTTGTTTCTACTAGGGCTCTGAGAAGTATGAGTTTTATATACAACTCAGGAGCTAGGATAATGTTTCAGGTACTCATAAAATGAGAGTCCAGAAAAATTACATACTCTTTTCTAGCCATAGCTTAATTTTAAAAAACACCAAATATGTTCACATTCTGTCTTTGAGGCTAGAGATGTTGGTAGTGCTGTGGGCTTATACTGGTTCTGTTTGTTTATTTAGAAGGAATTATATGGGGTGGGCTTAATTGTGAATGTTTAGGACAGTGCCAAGGCAGGAGGATTGCTAGTTTAAGGCCAACTTAAAAGTACCCTGCATCAAAATAAAAATAAAAACTGGCTGAGAATGTAGGTAAGTGGTTGAGTACGTTACTGGCACATGCAAGGCCCTGGAAGAAGCCAGAAACAACATGAACACAAATGTAGCCGGGTGTGGTGGCACAGGCCTATAATCCCAGCACTTGGGAGGCTGAGGCAGGAGGATCATTGCAAGGTGAAGGACAGCCTGAACTGCATAGCGAGACCCTGTCTCAAAACGAAAACAAAAATACAAATGTGTGCATGCACACACACACAGCAGAAAACACAGAATTATGTGGTTCAAATAGGTTAAAGTCATTAGGGTTGCAAAACATTAAAACTTGCGGTGAGGTAAGAGAGCAGAAGTGGACCGGACGACGGGCTCTGCACACAGAACTTACAGTCTGGTGATCTTGGTATGAAAAGGCATCTTCCGTAAGAAACCGCGTTTGGGTAAGATTTGAATTACGGGCAGGGAGAATTTAGCGCTGTGAGATGTGTAAACACTTAACACGTGACAGCTGTGTGTTTATAAGAGCCAGTGTGCGTTCGTTTTACGAAGAGCGTCACGAGGTAGGTTGTGGTTGAGTTGCCTGAGCTGTCCACAGACGCGCGTGTGGGTTTTCTAGTCACTGGTAATAAACTTCTTCCACACTTGCAGATACGCCATGGACGTCTGCAGACAGTGTGCATGTGTTCATTTACGGTTTCCTGTGATGTGTGCCTTTCTCCAGGCCAAGGGTGGAGGTTATGAAAGCGAAGATGCTTATCAGAATGCAGAGCTGGTTTTTCTGGATATCCACAACATTCACGTTATGAGAGAGTCGTTGCGAAAACTGAAGGAGATCGTGTATCCGAGTATCGAGGAGGCGCACTGGCTGTCGAACTTGGAGTCGACGCACTGGCTGGAGCACATTAAGGTGCGTGTATTTCGGTTTTTACCCGAAAGTCTTCTCTGCTTCTTCGCCTGTGTTGGCTCTTATAACTGAAATCAGAATGAAGGCATCTTCTGAAAAGTGAAAAATTGCTAACTTTTGGTAAGTGGAGCTATTGAAATTGGATGTTCGAATGAATTAGTTTCCTCTCCATGCACTTGGTTCTGTTACACTTCTTCTGTCCCCCCGCGTTCTCTTCCTCCTCAGGTGTCGTTTTGTCTTGCACTTCTTCTGTGAAGCCCGCCAGACAGCCTTTCTGTCTTCTCCCATCTCTTCACTTTGCTTCTTGTTTCCATGTAATCACAGAATACCTGCCTGCACTCATTTGCTTTTATATGTCCAGCAGCATACGTGGCTCACTCATGCAGAAAGACCCACACCGGCTAAGTCAGGTTCTTTTTGTCACCTTAGAAGGTAGGGCAGCTCTGTGTAAATACTCACTACATGCTTTCTGAAGCTGCCTTTCTGCTTAGAGACATGAGATGGGGGGGTAGAGCGGAGGCTCTCGTTTTGAGTGTTAGTCACTTGGAGAACGTACTCCCCCTGCTGATGGAGTATTTGAAACACCAGACTTCATTAATACAGTTACATACTTTCAGAAATGCTCTGCATTTAGTAATATAAATTACCAAAATATAAACAACTGTGTGCTAAGAAGTAATAGGGAATATTATTTTTATGTTAAAAAAGGGGCAGACTTGTACTCCTGTTAAAATCTCTAAAATTAAGAGAACTAAAAAGCCAAACTGAAGTAATTAGAAGTACAATTATAGACTATTTTATTGTTTTTCTTCAAGAAACTTTATAGCCTGAATATAGACAACTGTAAACACTATTCACAGGGCACGTTCATGTGGCCCACCTATTATAGTGTGCAGATATAAAACTTGAAACTTGACTTGAAACATCAGCTGCTGTGTTTGCTTCTGGAAAATCCGTCATTTTACTAGCAAGCACATTCTCAGTGAAAGGCTGACTGTAACAGAAACAGATTTCCCAAGGGTGTAAGGCAGAGTTTAGACTACTTTCTCCTCCGCTAGTCCTTAAGCCTACAAGGCTTATCCGTCCATTTTCCTTAGATCTCTGCTCAACTGTCACCTTTCTGAGAGAATGCTTTCGCAACTGTTACTTCGTGCAGACCGACAGTTCTGCCAGCAGTAACTGACATCCATCTGATAATGCTGCTTATTTCCTTGTTGACTTTCTTTGGTCTTGCTGGGCTCCCCCTAAGACAGTGTAAGCTGGTACTTCTCTTCCCTGCTTTATCTCCAGCGCCTTGAGCAGTGCCTGCCACACAGTAAGGGGATCCATAAACGTTTTAGAATGAATGGAGACTCACTCTGGATAATTTCCTGGGCAGTCTTAACTTAGCCTTTGGGTTAGTGATTCTTACATCTGTATATACATTTGAATGATAGGTGAGACGTTTGAAACAGTGACAGGATCATTGGCGAATGGGGCCCAGGCACATTTTTTAAATGCTCACAGATGACTGATGCGTAGTCAAGTTTGAGATTGCTGGAGTGCGCCTTATTTCTAGAATATGCCTCTAGTTGCAATCAGATGAGACTGAAATTTCCAGCCCTCCCAAATACTTCCATTCTGATCTGTTACGAATGATAATACAGTGCAGTTACTGCAGAGAAGAATGGGGCTGTATTCAGGTAAGGATATTTTAGTTTTGTGTTCATTTTGATTACATCTAAATCTGTTTAATTTTTAATCAAGACTTTTCAGAAAAGGTAAATTATTTTGCAAAGGATTTCTGAATATATATCAAAACAAAGGCCAAAATTTTTTTAGGTACCAGGTAAATTCATGATATGACAATTTTGGTGCATACTCTTAAAAGAAAATAGCTTACTCTAAATTTTATACTATACTTACACTACATGCTCTGTGACATAAAATTTTTAAAGTAATAATTGCTATAGAATATTTTAAGAGATCCAGTATGACTGCTTTCACATAATGACTCAAATTAATTTAAATATTGTTTTAAGTAAGGCTTCAGCTGGCACAGCAATTATTTTTATTTAAACAGATGATGTTAGAATATTTGATGACTATAAATCTTTTAGAACTTAATTCCTGTAAGAAAAATCTTCCTTTCGTTGCTGACTTGCTTAGTACCTGAGGTACCTTTCATTAGGGTCCTGTACTTCATGTGCAAATTAATAGGCATGTAAGTTGATGAGATTTTCTAGTTCTAAATGAAAATTGTGTATTTTCTACCACATACAAAAATTTGTTTTTTTATCCCATGTTGAGTCACCCCTAATAAAACTGTTATTAGTAACAGTTTTTCTGCATTTCTGGGGATTGAACCTGGGAAAAGGTATTTCCTATTCTAAAAATTTAATTTGGGAAATTTATTTTCCAGCTTATTCTTGCAGGGGCTCTTAGGATTGCCGACAAGGTAGAGTCGGGGAAGACTTCTGTTGTGGTGCACTGCAGTGATGGCTGGGATCGGACGGCTCAGCTAACTTCCCTTGCTATGCTCATGTTAGATGGGTACTATCGGACTCTCCGAGGGTTTGAAGTCCTTGTGGAGAAAGAGTGGCTAAGCTTTGGACATCGATTCCAGCTAGTGAGTAAAAAACCTTAACCGCTGGTACATGGATCATTTATCCAGGAGATAATCTTGTGAGAACTTTTCTGATTGTTTTGTGGAGTATTAGGGCATCATAATGTGACTACACTCTGGAGCTAGCCCTGTTTAAGTCTGTGGGTGCGTTTGAATGATAGACAGACTTATTTGAAGTAGGGAGTTAGGATCACTGGAGGATCGGGGCAGGCACACTTTTGTAGTGCTCGCAGATGAGTCATGCAGTCAGGTGTGAAGCTGTTCGATAGTATCCTGCAGGTTAGTGATTTTTACTTATCAGGCACCTGACCCCTGTAGTCTTATCTCTGCCTGGGAACAGCAGGTGTCATTCAGTGCTGTCCACCTGTGTTTCCCTTCCGGAAGACCATTTAAGGTCAGTAGGAAGGTGAGGCAGTTACACAGCCCTTCTGGCTCTTCTGTAGACCTATAAAGAAACAACAGCTTAATTACTATTTTTAAAATTGCTATAAAAAGTAGTATTGTTTAGGCAGCAGCAGGGTCTAAAAGTCAGGCTGAAAATAACAGAAATAGTGGAGAAAAGAAATGAAACTTGAGTTATACAGCTTCTCTGTTACGCTTATGGCACTAAAACTGTATGGACATGATGTTTTCAGCCTCCTCTATTCAGAAGTTACTGTTAGCACATTTCCGATTTGTAGCTGCTGGGACTAGTCCGTTTATCCACACATCTCACCTGTGGTGCCTGTCAGGTGGTTGCTGGTCACTGGTGTCCCCAGAAGTCAGCAGCACCTCCTTCCGCGAGGCTCTGCGGTTTCCCTCGGGAAGATCACATGCTACAGAGTTCTTCCTGACAGGGAAATGAAAATTCCCTTTGTGCTGTCTGTGTTCTCTGTGGTTTGTTTTTAGTTTTTGAGACTAGGATGATGTTGTATGCTACCACACCTGGCCACACTCCCTTTTGGAGACATGAAGAGCAAATCGGTCCTTATCCCTTCAGATATTTGAAGGTACCGTCGGGTCACATTGTCCATGATCTCAAGGTTTTCAGGTTGAAATTCCTTTTTGTTCACACTCTTTTTCACATCCCAGTTGTCCTCCTGGACTTTGCTCTGTAAGTGTGGTACTCGAGGACCCGAGGACCTTGCGCACGTTTCCAGGCAAAGACTTTCTGAGGGGCCTGTGCCTTAAATGCTGCCCTGACAGGAACTACTAGTGCACCACAGCAGGGAACGCTAGCAGTTTTTATAAATGAAAAGGACGTTCAGTCCACTCCTTTGGATTGTTAAATATACTGTAATTGGCATCTTTATTACGTACTTGGTTCACACTTTGCAGTTCTCTGTGCAATATACTTATGAAAGGACCATTTAAAACAACTCTTCAAATAGTGATGTGTTCCAACTCACAAAAACACTTAGGGCTGTTAGAAGTTGGTATGGATTTCTGAACTCACAAATTCAGTTCTGTTTCTAGTTTTACTGTAAAAGCAGTATTTCGACGATTAAAGAACACCCAGTCAAAACAGTATGCTCACTTGGCTAATGTAGGGGTAATAATTCTCAAAAAATTTTGGTTTCACAGCTTCTTTACCCTGTTAACAATTGATGACCCAAAATAACTTTATGTGGGTTATATCAGTGTTTGCTACGTAATACTAATAGTTCAATTCTTTAAAATTTCAAAACATTTGAAAGTAATTATATTATATATTAATATGTATGTCTGCTTCTAACTCATTCTGTTGTAATGTGTTCTTTTGAAGTGTAAGTGGAAAAGCACTTTTGATTAGCTTTTCCAGGAAATCATGATTATTATTATTTGGTTCAGTGTCAAAACTTGAGAGATGTTTGGTTATTACAGGTTAGGCATAATGTAGCATCCAAAACCAAGATTTTTTGTTCTTGTCCGTTAGATTCTATTGATGTTTTTACATTGGGTAATATTTTACACATACATTATTCTGTGAATCATTGGTTATCTGGAAAACACTGACTTAATGAGTTATACATATTGAACAAACATTAATGCCTTTCATAGTACATTATCATAACATCACATGCATTAATATCATTGATTTTATCAGAAGTATTTAAGGTCATTATGGTGGGTAAGAGTTTTCTGTAAACCTCAGTTTTCACTCAGAAGTTTGTTTATTTGGAGGAGGCTGAGGTAGGGTCTCACTATATAGTGTAGGCTGGTCTTGAACTGACTGTAGCCCAGGCTGGCCTCAAACATGTGGCAGTCCTGTTTCAGCGTCCCAAGTGCTGGGATTACAGGCACGCACCACATCTGGCTTCAAAAGCTTAAATCTTACAATTAGTGATATGATTCTGTGTATTTTTAAAAAATTATCTGCCAGATATTCAAGTCTAACCATAGCTGATAAATTCTTTGAAAAAAGGATGTTCCATGACAGTGTATTTCTTGCTGCCCTGTGTCAGTATGCACCGGAAGTATATTATGTGTTTTGTTTGGGTGTTAATGTGTGACAGAGTAGAATACAATTATTACCATTGCAGTTTTGTGCCACAGCTTTGCCTGATGCCTGCTAAAGAAACAAGGTTTTATCCTGCATTGCTTTTAGTAAATGCCAAGACATTGGAAAAGTCAAGTAAAGATTTTGTAGTGTTACTATAAAAATAACTTGGACCTGAAAACCCCCAGAAGTCTATGGACTGTACTTTCAGAGTGAGTCCATACTTCGGGATGAGGAGCAGGACTCTGCCTCAGTCATCAGTGTCAAAGATCCTTAGGAAAGAAAGAGAAGGTGGGTAGGTGACTGCAAGTCTGGAAGGTGAGTGCCACATTCTTTGGAAAATGGCAGATCTCCAGGAAAAAATTCTGGGCTCTGGAGTCTGCTCCTTGCTCCATCATTGATCTTTAGGATCTGGTTTTCATTTACTGAGCAGTGTGGTAATTCCTGTTACAAGTATCTCATTTCAGAAAAATGTAGCAGGTTGTACATGAAAATGTTAATAGGTATTTCTGCTTGGTAGAAGTATGGTGATATCTACTTCCTTTGTAATGCTCTTTAAAAAGATTTTTTCGAAAACTTTTGTTGGAAAAATTATTTCCATTAAAAAGTGAAAAATCCTAAATATATTTCACTCTGTTTGCTTCAGAGGGTTGGCCATGGAGATAAGAACCATGCAGATCCAGACAGATCACCTGTTTTCCTTCAGTTTATCGACTGTGTCTGGCAGATGACAAGACAGGTAACTTACCTTACGCATCTCCTTCAGGCTCCAAATTGGGAGATTGGTCAGTGATTACGTAAAACGGAACTGTTCTAGGGAAGGTCTATTCAAATAGACCTATCAGTCTAATAGGTCTATCAAATAGACCCACTGTCACTATTAAGTTAAAGGTTATTTGGTGGTGGTGGGGTGATACTAAACATTTTACAGTTTAATTCCATTAGCATTTCAATGAACAACATTGTTATTCTGAGAGGCTTACCTACAAGAACGTTGGTAAGGGAGGTAAAGAAATAAGTTACATAGCTCAAGCCAAGTAAAATCCTATTCCAAATAATTTATTTTAAGGGAAATATGTTTGGGGAGGTTCACAGCAAGGTAAGTAATAGATTTAATTGATTTTAGGCATGGAGGGAACTATGGTTTTTAAATATCCTTAATACAAATGAATTTCACCTTCTGAAAATATACTAGAGGAAACCAGACAACCCTTGGTTTATTATAGGAGGAAAGGGGTCAGTGTTTTAAAAACAAGAAAGTAGTTTAATTTGAGCCTTTTACTACAAAATTGGTTTGTTTCTTTGATAGAATTTAATAGTGGCCTTCTAGACATCTGGCTATTTATCTCTATTTCCTTCCTGAACTTACATAAAGCATGTTACCTAGTCAGAGTAACAATCTGAACAAAAATGCTTGAATGTCAGTGCAGAGACTTACACAGCCATTTGTCAAAATAGGGTTAGTGTGTTGAGATGAGCCTTCCGTGTCCAGCACGGTCCCACCCACATTCCCATCTCCTCAGTCCTGGGATCAAGCAGTTGTTGAAAGGCCCTTCGTGTTTTCACCATGCAAAGACAAAATAACGCGTTCGTTAGAATTTTAAAAGCAGTAGGGTAAATTACTGCTCTGTCAGTTTTGTTGTGGAAATGCCTGCCGATACGTTGGTCTCCTATATAACAGCAGCATGTTTGCCCATATGATGAACGAACTGCAGCTTAGTCCCTTGAATTTCATGAGTTAGAATGTATTTATATTGGACTGGTAAGTAAGAATGTTGAGTGAGTGACAGGCACAGGAGACGGGATTTGTTAAGTGAAAGAAAAAACTGGACAGTTTCACGGTCAGCTGGCTTTTTGTTACTGGCATACACTTGCTCACCTGCTTCATTCAGCTTCAGAGCCACAAAAACTACTCAGGGCCCACTAATTGCTTTTCACTGTTTGAGAAGCCTACCAAGTACCATGGCCTTGGTTTTCTAAAACGAGGGAAGTTTAAGGCCAGCTTATTCTCACCCGTATTCCTGTTGTCAGCAGTTGATGCTGTTTTCCTCTGCTGTTAGGATAAGGGCTTTTCTAAGTAATAAAACCTGAAAACAGCACTTTCTCCATTCGGTAACCCAGACGTTCAGGGAATTCTTTTTGACTACCCTGTAAGTGCTATAGTCACACACAGAAAGAAGCCTTGGAGTAATTTTGAAATTTGATAGGATGGATTAAACTATTAATTTTACCTTTTAAGGAGCCTTTGGTCAGTCCTCCAGAATTGCACTGTGTAAAATTATGGGATCCACTGAGACCCTTGGCCTTGCATGAGAGGGGATGAATTGAACTGTCTTTGCATTAGAAAGTAGTGGATTTTAAGAAACTCTGATTTGACGGGACAGTCCTTGAAAAGATTGCACATCACTTTTATGTATTACTCTTATTTTCTGAACACACAGTTGATATTTAATTCCTAAAAGCAAACCTATATTTATGTAGTTCAACGTTTAAAGAAAAATCTTACTGTGGGCAGGTGAAGACTGGACTTGGCCAAAACTTGCTTGGTAGCAAGTTTAGGGTTTAACAGATACAAAGGACACGGAAACGCAACAGGCACAGCATTCAGACACTGGTTGCAGAAGAAAAGGAAATTCTGGGAGAAGTTACTTCACAAAAGTGATCGTTTCTTAGCAGAAAATTAATCAGATAATGACCGCAAGAGCTTAAGATTTGTAGTTCTAAATGTTGTTAGACTTACATACCATTATGGAGGCTGTATTCATGAAAAGAATGAATGAATGTACTTGGAAAACTGTCTCAATTTTATGCATTTGGGGTGTTCAATTTGCAGTTTCCTACCGCCTTTGAATTCAATGAGTATTTCCTCATTACCATTTTGGACCACCTATACAGCTGTTTATTTGGAACATTCCTCTGCAACAGTGAACAGCAGAGAGGAAAAGAGGTAAGAGCCATGAGCCCTGACATCTTTCACTGTCCTTACCCTCTATTTTTCCCTCAAGAATGCACCCTGATGATTTCAACTAAAGTTGCTCTTTTGGGTACTACTTTTGGTCATATTTTACCCTATGTGCTGTATTTTGATCACTTCTCTCACGTAGCTCTATGTGACGTAATTTGAAATACCGTCGTAAAGCTGAGGGTGCCAAGTAACTGTCAGCCGAGTTCACAGGTGGGATATTTGCTGAAGAGAACTGAAGTATGTGCGACTTCAGGATTACTGGGTTATTCCCTGAAGGACAGAAGCTTTTCTACAGTAGGTATATAGAAAAATAAAACTATCAGATAGCGCTCCCGTGAATGAATGGGGAGCTCAAATTTCAAAGTACATTTTGCATACAAATAAGACGGTAAGTCGTTTTCTCAGTTGTAAAATAACACTATGAAAGACAGATACACCAAGTTTTTCGATGCCTCTCTTCCTAGAGACACCACTGCTAAAGAGGCTGACATTAAAAACTGCTTGTAGGAGCTTTATCTCCAGTGTTCATCTTCAAATACACCTCTATGATATACGAACATCTCAGTCATTTCCATTGGTGCCACATTCTGTATCAGCTGTCGCTCTAGAAGTTAACAACCACAGCCTAAAGGAAGAGAGGTTTATTGACTCGTCGTTCCAGAGGGTTCAAAGCCATCGCCTGCTGGCTCCAGTGCGGAAGTGGTACGGCACCAGGGGCTGCTCAGCCAGCAGCAAGGAAGCTCTGAAGGCAAGAGCCAGAATGCGAGATGCACCCTCGAAGGGCACGCGCGCAGCCCGCTCACCTGAGAGCCACACCTCCGAACACAGGAAGCTTGGGGACAGTTTAGATTTGTAGCTCAACATAATAAAATGCAGTTCATTTTTGCTTCTTTAATGGTACTGTTGTAAAGATTAAAGCTGTACACTTCTTTCTAGATTAAGTACTTTGAATGCCCTATTATATTGTGAGTGTCCGCCATTCAGTGAAAGTACTTCCATGTGCGGCGGGCAGCAACTTGCGGAATGTCAGATAACTTAAGAATAGTATAGTTTCAGTTACTTTGTGAACCTTAGGATTCACATCTTGAACAAATTTTTTTACTCAATTTGCCACCATGGGTAAGTCTTTTTGTGCATTTAATGGCTTTAGTTTTCCAGAGTTGTGTAAACATTACCATTTCATTTCCAAACATTTTCATTCCTCCAAGTTAAGTCCCACACCTGCCAAGTTAAAGTCCCAAACCCCATTCTCTTCTAGCATCTGGTAATACTTGCTGTACCTCTGCAGATTGACTTCTTAATTTAAATGGAGTCGTTTACTATGTGATTTTTGTGTCTGGCTTTTACTTACACTTTTCTCAACGTTCCTATATGCTGAAGCAGGGATCACTTTTTATTGCTGAGTAGTGTTCCGTTATGAGTATTTTATTCATACACACTCATTTGATGGGCTCATGTTTTGGCCGTTTGAATAACTGTTTGGACCTTCTCAGCTTTATTAGGAACAGAGTTGCTGGGTCACATGGTAACTCTTACGTTTAACTCTTTCAAGACTTGTACCTTTCCAGTACCGTTGGTTTCCTTTAGTGTAGAGTCCAAGTCTATGCCTTCTTTTGTGGTCATGTAAAACTGACCACAAAACACCTTTTTACCAATTTCATCCAAAGTATAGCTTATGGTAGAGTATCTGTATTTTTCCTTTTTACAGAATCTTCCTAAAAGAACTGTGTCATTGTGGTCTTACATAAATAGCCAGCTGGAAGACTTCACTAATCCTCTGTATGGGAGCTATTCCAATCATGTCCTTTATCCAGTAGCCAGCATGCGCCACCTAGAGCTTTGGGTGGGCTATTACATAAGGTGGAATCCACGTATGAAACCACAGGTACAGTATGTGATGGGAATTCGTTTGTGATGTTAGATCTGTATCCTTTAAGACAGCTGGAAAAAGTGTGTGCCTAACTAGAACCTTCCACTCTACCTGTATTGCTGGTCTTTGTAGACGGGCCAAATGACTTGTTTCCGGCTTTCCTTCTTCCTCTGGTTAACTTCTGGGAGTCCTGTTTTAATATGCTGAAGCTTTAGGAAAGTTAAAAGTGCAATAAATTCTGGTACACAGCAATTACCAAATACCACTGAAAACTGTTCAAGGCTAAAAATCTGCGACTAAATGATAGGAAATCTTTTGAGTATTGGCTTTTAATTATTAGTTACATTTGTACAAGTACCAGTTCCAGGAGCACCTCCGTAGTGCGTATTGTCTGGGAAGTACTTGGGGGCACTGGAAAAGCTGGGAGGAAACGGCAGTGGACAGTCATATCTGCAATTAATTCCTATTGATGTGTTGAAAGATGGGATTCCTCCCAGTCACTAAAATGGACTGCAGCCTTGAGGGAATGATGTGACCTCGGGTTTGGGCAGGGCTGCCAGCTGAGTAATAATTTTATGTTTGGCTCTTGTAGGAACCTATTCACAGCAGATACAAAGAACTTCTTGCTAAACGAGCAGAGCTTCAGAAAAAAGTAGAAGAACTACAAAGAGAAATTTCCAACCGCTCAACCTCGTCCTCAGAGAGAGCCGGCTCTCCTGCACAGTGTGTCACCCCTGTCCAGACTGTTGTATGAAGACCTTTGTATGAAGACCTTTAGATGAGGGCACCATTGCTGTGAACTCTTCATTACAATGGCAGCTTTATGAGTAGAAATGCTTCCATATCCAACTCGTCTATGAGAGGGAAAGTTCAGAGGCTTTATTTATTTTGTCTAAGACGAGTTTAGAACTACAGCAGTATGGGTGGCTCCATCTCTAATTACACAATTATGACACTAATCTTATGTCACCCAAAAGATACTAAAATATTTCAATTCTGTATCCACAGTGGAAACAAGTTCCTAATTGAAAGTGAAAAACTTTAGGATCTGGTAAGAGCATTTAAAACACAGTTTACCTGTAAACACTCACTGCACAGAGGAGGAGGAGTTTTCAAACCAAATCAACATCAGAATTCTGCGGTATCACTTACATTGCCTTCATGTATGCCAGGTTAAAATCACATGATACTTCTTTTCCTTTGTTGTAACTGACTGATCCACTTTCAACCTTCATCCCTAATAGAGTACAAGGCAGATTTGAGAACGTTATGGTAGAGTTGAAAACTGCTGCTGACATTGTTTATATGCCTCATTAGGGTGTTTTAGATAGCTGTTGCAAAATGATGCCTTATAAAGCCGTTTTGGGGAGGATGAAGGGGACAAAGCAGCAGCCACTGTGAATTGAAAGAATTCAGTTTGGTTCAGAATTTGCCCAGTTACAAGAAACATCATGAAAAGCATTTGAGAAACTCAACTTTATTTTACTTAAACAATGCTAATTGGTAGGTTCTGAGGTCTGTATAAATAGCTTCTGGTGAGAAGTACTGTGCTTAAAGTTTATATGAATTAGTTTACTGTTTTCCTTGCAAATTCTGTAATTCCATCAGATGATTAAGTCTACCAAAGAATACACTGCATGTAAAGATGAATACAATCTGAATGCCAGTAAAAGAAACCTTGCTTCACTGTTCACCTGAGTTTGGTGCTGGTACACACTGATGTCTACTTCATGTAAGAGCCATATGTAATGTACTGTAACAAAGGAGCTTCTTAGCCCTCGGTCTTTTAATTAAAAGAAATTTCAACTAAAACTTGGTCCTTGTTCAGAGCTGTTTATTTTTATTTTTTTTTGAGAAATCAAATTTGCAGTAATTCTTTTGCCTCAGCCTGGTGAGCACTGGGATTTTAGGCATGCACCACCAAACCTGGCTATTTTTTTTTTTTTTTTAAACACATAAAATGTTACACATGGAGGAGCATTTGCTGCAAATAGAAATGTTTAATTTGAACCCAAGTCAAACAAATCATACAGCATTTTATACTAATTCAGTATAGTCTGAACTTCAATTATGCTGTTCATCTTACAATAAAGACACATCCAGTATTAGCAAAACTGGTACCAAAATGATTTGGTCGTTGTGTGGAACTCATTATAAAAATTTTAAACAGGAGGGGCTGGGGATTTAGCTCAGCGGCACAGCGCCTGCCCGGCAAGTGCAAGGTCATGAGTTTGATCCCTGGTACCGGAAAAAAAAAACAACCAAAAAAAAAATTTTTAAACAGGGTAAACAGGTAAATTTGGCCAATCAGTATGAAAGCTTAGATACTTCAAATATTTCAGACCCATTCTTCCATTTTGCTCATTTACATCTTTCATTGGGGTTCAATGTAACAAGAGAACCCTGAACAGATCAAGGCATTCTATTCTTAATGGACTCAATTCTTATTTCAAATTCATCCAAAAGTCAGAGAAAAAATACAAGTTCAAATCTTCATATTTTTGTTTAGAACATTCCAATAGCCTTCTCTACCTTCCAGAGATCTTCCCGGCATAGTGTATGGTACACATTTGAGCACTTAAAATAAGCCACTGGCTTATGTACACATGGAAGAGAAAAACACTAGTACTTTTATATACTTACATACAAAACAACCTCATGATTGACAGTTACACATTTTATACCTATACCTGCGAGGAGTAGTTGTACAGTGTACTACTATGGTGTCTATACAATCTAGAGGCAAGTATGATCGAGCTGAAGCTCCGTAAGTTTCCCACTGTCTAGTCTCCGCCTATGGCTCTGCTGTGCTCTGCATGTTCCAGCTATTACACACCAGTTACTGCACTCAAGTTCTCCCATGCAAACAGCAGCACAGCCTACTTTGGTTTGGTCTGTGCTACTGACCTGAACGAACAGTTCTCCCTTGTGATTAGCTGCCAACAGTTCAGGGATCACCTCTTCCTCCAGGAAGTTCCTGCCCGCCATCACATCCCTCTGCCATTCCCTGCCTCCCTGTGTGTTCCTTCAGCACAGTGTGTATAGCTGTTAGCACTGCATTCACCACGCTACACCGGGATAATTCAAATGCCTATCGTGCACCTCTGACTGCACTCAGCGTGGTGTCCATGCTGGCATCTTACACAGAGAAGAGCCTTGAGATGCACTGCAGTACGTTCTGCTACAGCATGAGTGGATGGACATGTTCCACTGTAAACTCCAGTGGACAGTATTTTGTTTTCCGTTCTCACATGAGTACTGAAAGCTGGAGTGGGTACAATTTGAATCTTAGCTGAGGGACAGAATAGGATTTAGCATCTTTCAGTCACTCTTCTAATTAGGACTTGGAGACAGCCATTCAAATGATAGTTTATATAATTTAAAGACCTAAAACTCAAAACAAGGATCATAAAAATTTAATAGCAGAAATGGGAGATGAGAGGAAATATTTACCAGTCAATAGAACATTTTCTCATCTTCTTCAGGTCTGTAGTTTTATCCTTAATTCATTACTACAAACATGCTCATCAGAAAATTATACACACAAGCAGAAGTTTATGATTCACAAATATCTCAAAATCTACGCAACGATACTACATTAAAGACTGTTAAAATTTAACAAGAAGCTTGACAAGCCTAGTAATCAAGCTACACAAATTAATGCTGGTTGTATAGATAAAACCCTTATCCTCCATCTCGGTTCCCAAGGAGGCATATAAAGGAATTCTTTTCATATGTCGCTTACCTGCTCTTTAGCCCTCTTAAAGGTTCTTACATGAAATAATTCAGTCTTTTTGGGCTTAGTTTCTATGTAAGCATGAGAATGGCAAGTGAGTATTGCATGGTATATGCAGTGTTAATATTTTTGAGAGTTTACAACAAATAAAGCCTTTGTTAACAGGCTAAGTAAAATTTCAGTGTTTCCTTAAAAGCTGCTTTATTGACACCAGTTGCAAATTTGTAAAAGGTAACATGTTTTTTGATCTATTCAGATTTACATTGATATGACACTTGTATGTGTACAGTTCTTACTGCACTCATGTTCTATACCAAAAACAAATGTTCAAGGGGTTCTCTTAAGTTTCAAAATTAAAACCACAGTGCCTTGGCCTAACATGATTACAAACAGGTATTAAGAAACTGCAAATGTGTATGCCTTCACAAGAGCTACCTTCTCTCTCACATTTTTCCAAAATCTTACTTATTTCATTAACAATCTATACTCTTAAATTTAAAATACATTTACAATTTTATAGGTAAGTGATTTCTTGGATCTTTAAAAATTTTAAACAGTAGATTGAAAATGCAAAAGAAATGTACCAATGATTAAAAGACCAAAAAAGCAAACACAAAATCCTCTTAAATATATAAATAGTTAAATATAGAAAAAACATCAATAGTCCAAGTAAATATATTTAATAGCTGTACGAAAAAGGGACGCGGGCACTTGATGCCAGGGACGATTTAAGGATGAGACTTCAAGCAAAGGTTGCCTGTGGGGCCAGCCTCGTATTTTGAAAATTTAAGCCTAATTTATACATACATATCTATCTATATATAAAAAATGATTTCTTAAAAATATCACACCCACAAGTAAAAAACTGGTAATTTGTTTACAAAGTGCAATATACCAGTACAGTGCACTCATCTTAAAGAAAGCGCCTCTCAAGTTTTAAAACCCCCTCGGTTTCCATTTACGGACATGGTTTCACGTTTAGTGGTGCCGCACAACACAAGCCATGTGTGTAACGAGGCCTAGGCCCTTCATACCTGCTATTAATTAATTCCAACCTAAGTACGAAACCTGGAAAGTAAATTGCCAGTATCTGATCGATGAGGTACAGATTATCTGAATAAAATTTATGACCTGGTGTGAGCAGTCAGTAATCCCAACACACATTACTGCTTTGCAATAAATTTTGTATGGTTTGCATGTCCTTCAATAACTGAAGATTTTTCCTGCTTTTTTCTCCAGGTCTCAGTTTGGCAAAATCCTTCTTACTTGTGGTCCCCGTGACCCCCGAAGATCGGTTGCTGCTGTTTCCTTCGTCTTCAAGGGTCTTTTTGTTAGCTCTTCCTTCTTTCTTCTGCTTCTCTAGCTTCGGTTTGTCCAGCTATGCCAAATAAGCAAGGTGGAAAAAAGGAAAATTTAATGAAATCACTTTCTTCTGATAACTAGTACTTTTAAAATAACTCATACTAACGAAAACCCAAACAATTCAGTCTAGGTATGTATCTGTAAGAGTTTTAAACATCTGTTACAGCAGTTATTTAACACTTGGTACTTAATGTAACAATACTAAGCAAGTGAACAAGACCAAACACATCAAGGCAGTGTGGCCACGGTACAAAGCAAGTGGGTGAGAGCTAGCGAGGCTGGGAAAAGGAGTCAGGAGGGAAGAAGATGAAGACTGACAGACGGAGGCAAAGACACAGTCGTAGAAACTATCCTGCACAGCTCAAGAGGCAAGTTCCAGACGGATGAAGACACAGCGATGCATTAATATTATAAAAACATTTTAAATTTTATTATTTTTGGAAAAATTTAAGGGAAAGCTCTACTTTTACTTTAGCTAACCTGCCACTGACACATGTTGGTGTGCCGTTAGAATAAAGCTGAGTCTAATGTACAAAAAAAAAGTAAAACCATTAATTACACCTATAGGAATTATTTCCTTCTATTTCTTTAACATGAACTTTGAAAAACCAAAGTACTTTTTATAAAAGCGCACATGTTGGAGTTGAAAACAACCAATAGTGACTTATTATGTCTTTGGGCTACTTAATTTTACTGAGGATATATGTCATCTTCTCAAAAACCTTGGCCCCAGTTTCCTATAAAATGGGGACAAAAAAACAAATTCACCACCTACAATTTTTTGAGTCTATTAAATGACGTGACATATTCAGAACCCTTGATGACAGTGGGCCTACTATATGTTAATAGCAAACTTGTCAGTGGCAGTATCATCCTTCATATTACTGCCTGTCCGTGTTGTATCTAGCAGGAAATACCTGTTACTTCTATCCACAACACACTTCAAATCTCTCCAACTGTAATTACATCATGGGTGAGTTAACACGCACCTCTGAGAAGCCTAACTGCCTACCTGGACTCAGCCTCCTTGGCTTGACCCAATCCCTTAATCTCAGCAGGCACCATAAATTTTTTAAAAAACAAACCGACTCTGGATAAAAACCCTTGCGTGAAACTGCAATATTACACTTAGTTGATATTATGTAAATGACCAATTTAATATAAGGAGTAACATAATGATTTTCACATGTCAAAATAATTTCTAGGTGCATTTTAAAAGACCTAATTGGATAAACTTGACCATTTAAGTTGGTCTCAGAAGCTAAGGTTTATTCATAAACCAAGACTGCTAATATTCATTATCTGAAAGATGTACATATCTCACTGGTAGATAAAATCTAAGTATTAGCATTTCTTTGCTAACCCATGTAGTAATTCTTAGTACAGTAATTAACTCAAAAAATGTCTTGCAAAGAATTAGCTCTCGCAGCTCTTCACGATACACTTCTGTCATCGACTAATATATTTTAAATGTTTGTTTTAGATCATGAGAAACCTGAGTAAAGGAAAACGGATTACCTGTGCTTGGTATTTTCGAACTTTAGTTATTTGGTTGGCTTTTGCTTCCATCCTTCCCACTAATGCCTCCAATTCACACTCTAAGTTGTCTTTCAATTCAGTGTCTGGTGACTCCTGTATAAGTTTTGCAAGCTGCTGGTGGTCACTGTATACAAAGCGAAAGTAGAGCTTGGTTAGTTTTCCTGGGTTTCACAATTTGGTTCACTATGTCTGATCTTATCAAGGTGTCACTGCTGTTTTGGTGTATTTTTTAAAGACTCATTGTCTTTTAACACAGCAACAGATTTTGAAACTTTCAATCATAGTTTAAAAGCTTAAGAAAGGCACTGAAGGGAAATGTAACAGTTCTTAACTTGAAACTGTCCAACTGTTTAGACTCCATTTCTCCTGCAAGAGTATTACACATGTAGACAGGCAGCAATATCCACAAGGAAACTGATCTTCAACACCACCCTACCTTACAGGCAAATTCTGCTAAACTTAAACGTTTATCAAGTTAAATGAGCACACTGGTCTGTTAAACTTTAGTAATATTAGAGATTTTACCCATAAAGGTTGCATTTGTGAAGTCCTAGTTAAGGTGGGTGGTGCAAAAACTGTGCTTAATATAATTGCTGAATGGAGCTAGATTAATAGTCAACAAGAAGCTAAAAATCAAAGAGGTTTCAGAACTGAAAAATTTTAAAAACAAAAACTCACAAGCTCATCTGGCCAAACTCATCCTGTAAAGTCTGCAAGACCTCTGACAGTTCTTCACTGACGGTGCTGGAAGATGGGGGTGTTGCTGACTTCTTACTTCTACTACTTCGTGAAGATACTTGCTTCGCCAAGGGAATGCTGCTCACTACTCGGTCATTGCACAGAACTTTACTGTGTTGTTTCATTAGGTGCAGGACATGCTGGACATTGGCTACCACGGCATGGCTAGGACTAGTGGACTAAAAAGAGGAAAATGTTAAAATCTTCCACTCCTGTTTCGTTTTTATTCTTGGATGAAAATAAACTTTCCCACAGCCTCGGACATAATGTACTCTACCATAAATTACTAAGTTAGATGGATTCAACCTCAGAAATCTCTCCACCTCCCACACCGTTGTTATTCACTTGGCTTATGAATCTGCCTATTTAACTGTAGATGGAACATCACAATTGGTCTTGCCCCTCCTGTTCTCTAACTGCAGGGCTATCAGTTATCTTCTTAAAATATTCTGACCATACTGTCCTGTTTGAAACCCTTTTATCTAACTCACCTGACTAGCAAGTCCGAACTCTTCTGCGTGGAGGGTAAGACCCGATATCACTGAGCTGCAGCCTGTATTTCCTGGCCTTATATCCTGCCATCGCCCAATTTCTATGCTGTGAACAAATCATATCTGCAGATGACATTTCTTTTGCCTGGAGCTTTTATACTATTCTTTTAAACCCCACTACAATGTAACTTCTACCAGTTTCCTTAATATTACCAGGCAATTACTTGGTCCAGTTCTCAGATTAACCACAAATGGATACTGAACACAAGTCCTTCACACTAAGTAACGTTTCTTCATTTTTTGAGTCAAGGATTCTCTAAGACACTAAGTTGCCAAGATTAGAGTGAACTTGTGATTCTCCTGCTGCACCCCCTGAATACTGAGGGTTACACGTATGTGCCACTGCATCTCGCTACCAACACTTTTTGTATGTCTCAATCACAGCATTTTCACAATGTACTGTCCCTGTGTTTGGATTATCTGTCTTGCCTGTCAAATAATGTATCTGCAGACGGTGTATCTGCCCTGAATAAACTTTTCCATTCTTCCTTAGTAAGAAGCACTAAACACATGTCTGTCACAGAGAGGAAAACCTGGGAGCCTTTTTAGAACTTTTTGTTGTGAATATTAACAATCTCAATATGCTGTAACAGCTTGTTAGTAAACATCTGGGCTTGCCTGAATTCCATACTCAGCAAGCTTATTTCAAATGCAGACTTCCAGGCAGAACTCAAGACTCATTTAGTATGAGGTCAAGTTCTGGGAATTTTTAATTTTTAAGTCCTCCAATTAGTTCTCATCAGCCAGATCTGGAAGCCGTTGTGCTGAGCAGAACACATGCTCTTCTTTGTTTCTACTGGTAAGAAACTCAATGCAGCAATACATAAGAATAATTTTACACCATAACCGTATTGGTTATATTCCAGGAATGCAAGGTTAGCCCAGTACTTGACAATCAATGTAATCACTATTTTGCTGGTAACTATATGTTCACTACCCTAATTGCCCACATGTGTACTTTCAATATGCAGTAGTTGTTGAAATTTTCTTATTTATTAATTTTATGTCTGTTGAATTTGGCTATAAACTTCTACATTAATTTTTCTAAAAATTCACTTTTACTTATTTTACAAAGGAACTGATCTGTGATGCTACGTAGTTAAAATAAAAACTGGTCCTTCACAATAGATTTAGAAACACTCAGCTAAGTGACTAGACATTCACTGTACTTTGAGTAGTTCCTGAAAAATACACATAATACTTTCAAAAGAGCACAAGTTAAAAATCTTTCTCTTTGGATCTGTCCTGTTCAACCTTTGTTATTACTAATTTCAATGAGAATTATTAAAGACAGGCAATCAAATTTGGGAAAAACAAATATAATGGAAAAATGAGATAAGATTCTGAAGTGGGACAGGGTGAATTTATTCCCATAAAATGATTTGATTAAAAATTCTACATAAAAACTCTACAAGTAGAGGACTTAAAACGGGCTGATACAAAGCTCCAGGAAAACACCTGTTACTTCAGCTGACTCTAGAATCAGTGAGTGAAAAGATAATGTTCCTTCCCATGTATGTGCTGTTAGGCTGATTAGCAGACAGTTTAGAGCATGGCAAACTTTATTCTGTGTCATACTACAACTTAATTTAGGAGGAAAAGTGTGATACGTGGAAAATACGAAGACCACATTTGATGAACAGCTGAGGAAAAAAGTGATCTGTCTGTAACCTAGAACAGGATGATGAGCTAAGAAAAATATAGCTATCCTCAAGCATTTTAAAATTTTCTGATAGGGGCTGGGGATTTAGCTCAGCGGCAAAAGCGCCTGCCTGGCAAGCGCAAGGTCGTGAGTTCGGTTCCTGGTACCGGAGAAAAAC